TTTCTAATGACAAGGCCAGCAGCCGTGCCTGTTTGAATTCCAGTTGGGCTTCAGCTAGTAGGCACTTCTGCATTGTTATGTCATTAATCCCCCATACCAAACAGTCTCTCAGCACGTGCCAGTCGTTGTAACCTCATCAAAGATCCCAGTACAGATTCCCCTGGTTCTCTAACAGCCAAATAAAACTGATCGTATCTCAGGACTAAAGGAGACTTAGGGTTGTATTTTCTTTAGACAATTCTGTCAACTCTTGGAAGGTTTTAATGTCTGGTGCCTCTGGGAAAGTTAAGAACCTTTATAATCAAAATGCTGCAGGTCCACATGCAGTTAGAAGGATTACTCATTGCTTTCCTCTGCCCCAATGTCATTTGCTTGGAAAAAATATCGCATTCTTTCCACATAATGGGCCCAGTCTTCGAGAGCAGGGTCAAATGAGTCAAGCATTAGAGGCATGATGCCAGAAATGCTTACCCTAACTCCAAGATGATAGTTGCAAGCAAAATGTTCTTCAGGTACATCCTGTTTTCTTCCGTCGCCACTGAAATAACTGCACAGAGGCCGGGTCCCGTTACCCTTTGTTTACTCTTGCACAGTACACTGGTTGTGACCAGTCCTCAGCTGAGGAGAATCTAATCTCTTGGTTATATTGGTCAGCCAAGGCTTTCCTGATTAGCCCAGGTTAACAACCCCAATCAAGAATCTCAGTCAACAAGGTTCACCTGATCCCAATCACTACAGTGTGACGCCTTAAAACCTTTCCACATCAACCCTGTCAAGCCCTCTAAGAATCTTGTATAATTCAATAAAGTCTCCTCTCCTTCTTCAATATTCCAACAAGCACAGGCCCAATCTACTCAACCTTTCCTCATAAGACAGTACCTCCATACATGGAATCAGCCTAGTGAACCTTCACTTCACTGCCTCCTCAAAGTTATCACACCTCGTCTGGTGTTCTGCTCTTATGTAAATGTCTGGATTAAGAATGAAATTTAGAGTCAAATGATTCAGTCAGAACCCCATTTTTATGCCTACCCGGTTATGTCAGAGAGGCTGATCTGAGACATATGTCTGTCTAGATGGATACAACAGTGACAGATACAAACAAGATTACTTACTTACTGCTTTGAATAAGCTGGATTTGGACTTTATTTAATGGTTTAAGATTCAGTTGTTAGTCTTGCAAGTCACCCCTACTGGTGCAAAGGTCATTTGGACCTTAAAATGAAACAAAGAACTGCAGATGTTGGAAATCTGAAACAAAAACAGAAATTGCTGGAGAAATTCAGCAGCCTGGTAGCAGCTGTGGAGAGAAAGCAGAGTTAATGTTCCCTGAAGAAGGGTTGCTGCACTCCAAACAATAATGAGTTTCTCCAGCAATTTGTTTTTGTATCATGTGGATGTTGTTACTTTTGTAGTTCTTGATCTTTCTGTTGCTGAATAAATGTCTTGTTATCCATCTAATTGGGTAATCTCACTTTCAAGAATCTACATATGACATGTTCAAAAAATACAGTCATTGAGACAGTGCAGTAACAGGGCACGGGGAAAGGTTAAGTAGTTTCTAAAGCTTTTCTCATGATATTAAATAATGGTATTATGCAATGAGGTTTCTCATAAAAGCCACAAGGTTGACAGGAAACCTGAAGACACTCCTTTTAACCCTTCAGTCATCAGGAACCATTATCCCCTGGTGTCTTTGGCTCCAGATGGCCCAGGCCTGCTGACAGTGACCTCTCCAGATGTGGGCTTTCTCCTGGCTTGAATTTCTGTGGGCTTTGGCAACATAGGCAGGGAAGGTGGAGGGGTTGCACACCTCCAGAGTGTCTTAAGGACAAGCATCAAAGGCAGGGAGTCCTGTGAATTGATCTCCTTCTTGTGGGTGCCTGCTGGCATCATATGTCTGGCTCAGAAGAAGGGACATCTGGAGTGAAATCAAACTCCCTCCTCTCTCTCCTTGCCATCAATGTCTGGAACATGCACATATTTGTCAGACAGAGTGTGCTTCATGTGCACCTCCATGGTGGTTGCCAAATTGTCCACGGGACCAGACAGATGCATGCTTGCCACAGCCAGCACAGTGTGGACAGTGTCGGTGGACTTCTCTATCCTTCAATCCAGCTTACTGAATGCCTCTGATAAACCTTCCCACTACTGTTTCTGTCTGTGCAGTTGATAAAGTCATTAATGGCCAATGTGGTCTTCTGCCTCGTGCTCAGCAAGTAGCCAATGCCTAGGTGCATTCTAAGTGTCAGAGACCTGGAGTGTTTCTTACCCATCTGGCTGCAAAGACACGTCTGTGCTATGTTCTTGAGATTGTGCCCCCAAGTCTAATTTAGACAGCGTATCCACTGAAGTGCAAGTCTCTGAGCTGTGGAAGAATTAGGTTAAAGCCTTGCCTGCATATCCTCTGACGGTGGCCGGTGTTGGCTCCTTCTTGGCAGAAGTTCACGGAGTTCCACCAGTTCCTGTATAAGAGAAAAGATGGAATTAGTTAACTAAGACAAATAAAACTTGAGGCAATTAAGAATGAGACAGCACTGGTTGTAAAGGTGCAGTGCAGCACAGCACAATGAAGCTTACTGGGTTGGTTGGCCTTTGAGTTGTCCCAGTGACCACATTAGCAGACATGTTCTTCTCTGGGAAAATTGAGTATTTTCCTTTTGTAGGAAGTGATGAGTCTGATGTCCGCTACATGCTGATCTTCGACAATTTAGATAAATTTTCCCTGCATTAACGCAATGGTAGGGATCAAGTACAATGGAAGTCAGAGTCATACAGCACGTAAACAGACCCTAAGATATATCAGAATGTTAGAACAGTAATTGGTGATGCACAATGTCCCTGGTGAGTGAACGGGAAATACAGAGAGCAGGAAAGATTATTCGGATAATGGTGATGAGAGGCATTGAATGGATATGATGCATGCAATAATAAGAATTGTATTCCATGAGCTTTGGTGAGAGCTCTGTGCAGTGGCAGTGAGTGCTGTGTGCAGTGAGTAGTGGCTCTATGATGTGAGCTATCAGAAGGAAGATGGGGGCATGTACCCTCGCAGACAGATCTCTGTAAGCACTGTTGCACGTCCTGCTTTAACCCAGGCAGCATTTGGGTTTGGGTTAGCTTTGCTGGTGTGGCCTTGCCTTACGGTTCACAGCTAAATAAACCTCAAAGATACAGTTACCACAGTGTGGGGGCTTGCAGCATCTGAAGTGGTGTGAAGCTAGCCTTTATGTATGGCGAAAGCGGACTAAACACTAGAAGACTCCTGTAGTGACAAGAACCTCCACTTCTCCAACCACACAATTCCTTAAGATAGATAGGCACCAAAGGGTACACTTGTGTAATTACTAAAGTGACGAGCAAAAAATTGCATGAGTGAACATTCTCTGAGCCATAGTGGACTAAGCGTCATGAATCTCACTCAACAAGACACTTATACTGAAGATGGGAAAATTCCACCCTTGGCAGTTATATATCATTAGTTGTGATGGTATATCTGGTTGTTCATTTCTACCTCTCACTGAGGTGACATCTGCCCTACGTAGATTCCAGATTGTGACTTGAGCTGACTCTTATTGGCAGCATTGGAGGTTTGTATCCTGACTGGCTCTTCATTGTTCAATTCTGGCAATGGTTTGGTAGTTTTGTCAAAGAAAAATTTGGCTGCCATTTCATCTTGATTTTGGCACTTACGTTATTACTACTTCTGACCTCAGTAGCTCTTTTGCTATTGGTAAAGTAGTTCGGGTGCTGTGTGATATTAGTCTTTGTACAGGACTGTTCTCCAGTAGTACTGCTTTCAGTAGGTGTGTTTCTCCACTTGAGGATTTCCTTGTATACATCTGTGCTGAATTTGTTCTTTATGATTCTTTTGGTAACGTTCATTACTGTGTCAGACTTTCCACTCGATCGGGGAAATACGTGGAGGTGACATAGACTGTTGAGTTTCCCAATGTTTTACAAAGCAGCTGAATTCTTCACTTGTGAACTGACAGTCATTCTTTCTAATCACAAAGTCCGGAATGCTGTAACAACCAAAGTGTGCTTCTAATGATTCAACAGTATCCTCAGTAGTTGTTGTGTTAGCTGGTCTATTTCCTAGTAGTGACAATAGTAATTGGTGACAAGATAATCAATTCCCTTGACAGTGAAGAAGTCTATTCCTAGATTTATCCACAGTCTGTCCAGGATGTCATGTGTCATCAACTACTCTCTAGCTTGCTTAGTTTGATAACCATTACAAGCACTGCACTAGTCATTCTTGATTTCATTGCTCATGTTTGGCTAGCAGAGAACTTCTCTTGTTTCCTGAGATGTCATTCAATTCCTTGGTGGCTTGCACAGACATATCTTAGTATCTCTCCTAAATCTTAGGGATAAGGACTTTATTTTTCTTCATACAATTTGTTTTCTTGGGCCATCAATTCATGTCCAGATCATACCTCTGTGGCTACAGTAGTATTCTTTGTAGATGCTTTTGAGCGATACTAGTGGCTCATAGAATATGCTTTTAACTGGCCTACAGTCAAATTTGGCTATCACCTTGTCTGTTCCAAGTAGGTACTGATAAAAATGTTCACAAGCAAAGACAATCACATTTTTTTGATCCAAAAGTAGCATTGTTTCATTTGGATTAGCATCCTGAATATATCTGGGTTGTTCCCAATCCTATTTCACTGGCATCACACTGCAGGATTACATCATCATTTACATCATATTAGTTTAGCACTGGCATAGCTGTCATTGGTTGCTTGATTTTAGTGAATACTGCTTTGCGTTCTGCACCTCAATCCCACTGCATCTCTGACAGAGAGTTGGTGTCATGGTTCACACTCTAACAATGAATTGGGCAAGCTTAGCTGAATAGTTGACAAATGCATCAAATAGTTATACTGCTTTTACATCTGCAGATTGATGCATTGCTGTTAAAGATTTCACCTTTTCAGCGTTCAGGAAATGTCAGGATATGGTATGTGTATTTGACTTTAGGCACTTTTAATTGCAATGATTTCTTGCTGTGCTTCAGGTTCACACAGTTGGAAGTTGTTGTAGAGAGGAGCATGTGGGAATCCTAATGGTAGGACGCACTTACCTCTGGTGCAGAGCCTGTCCGGTGGCCAAACACTAGGGCACAACTTAAGCTATTCCTATTCTCACAGGCTGGAAAATCTTAGTAAAAGCAAAATACTGCGAATGGTGGAAATCTGAAACAAACTCAGAAAATGCTGGAGAACTCAGTATCAAAAGTCCAGTATGACTTATTTCCATAACAGTTTTGAAGAGTCATACTGACTGGAAATGTTAACTCTGTTGCTCTCTCTCCAAGATGCTATCAGACCGCTTGGAAAATGTTACGTTCTTTGTAAATCTGGGGTGTACTAGTTCTTTCATCCAGGAAAGCACACTCGAATTGCTCCCTTTTAAAAGAATTAAAGTTCATACCAAAAGAAAGTGCCATTTTCAGGCCTGGACCCCCAGGTAACCTCCACTAAGGCTGTTCATTAGCCTTGGTCAAGGTCAAGTGCTCATAATACATATGGGTACATGAAAAGGCTGAGTACAGGCTTCATACATTACACAGTCCAATGAATCCTAATGGTGAGGCTGAGTTCTGGCTCAATTACAATAAACATGCCAGAAATATGACAGGAATTCACCGAGTCATTGATTTTTGGTACCAGCCCCCTGAACTGGCTGGATGACAAGTTTGTGTCACAAATGATGCCAGCAATGTGGATTCAACTCCTGCAACAGCTAAGGTCACCATGAAGAAGTTCCCTTATTAACTTTCCCCTTGCCTGAGGTGTAGTGACCCTCAGGTTAAATCATTCCATTGTTTCTCTCTAATGAGACAGCAGCCCTGTGGATCCCTGGGACTATGATGATTTTACCTTTATCTTACCAGATCTTCTGCAGATTTATTTTCACTGAATGATAGCGAACATTCATAGTTATTTTGCCTGACCTAGATTTTGCAGTTTCCATTTTAAAGCTCAGATAGTCAAACAGTTTTAAAGTAACAGCAAACATTATTACTACTTTGCTAAACGCAAAAGACTGCACATGTTGGAAATCTGAAATATACTGACCCTGAATTCATACCAGACTTGAAATGTTAACTTTGTTTCTCTCTCCATAGATGCTACCGGATCTGCTGAGTTTCTCCAGTGTTCTGTATTTATTACTGCAGTGCTATTGTATTCACATCAATATATACAGAACTCACTGAGAAATCTAACAAACCGTATTTGCAGTAATGATAAATATTTTACCTGAATTTGTTGCAAAGTTCTTTTTCAAGATTTTTAATATAGGATAAGCTCCCTGTTTGCAATGATCAGAAAAATCATCAAAGTCAAGTGTCCACACTAAAACTCCTCCAAATTTGTTCTCCTGTATCCATTCAACCTACAAAAGTAAATGAAGTATTACTGTACCTGTTGAAAGATCAAGTCTACTCTCAGGTGGGTGACCATTAACAGATTTTGTTGAACATAACCATATACAAGGAATAGTAGGAGAAAGTATCCCTGATACCCTCCACAATCTGGTTCTGGTTCCACATGATCTGACATCTCTAGGATATAACTTCTTATGCACATATTCAGTAGTTATTCTTAGAGTAGTCTTTTGGTAGTCCTGAACTTGATGGACAACATAGACATCTTTGATGGAATGACACTTACTTGCTTACCCTTGCATATTTCTGACATGTAGATGATCCCATTTGCTATATTTGAAAACAAGAATTTCTTTAGACATCTTCATGGGCCAAAACTTGCATTCACCTTGGAAACGAAGCAATCAACCAAGCTCTCTTTCCCCAAGGTACTAGTTGACAAACCTGCCAGGAGGTTCTCTACTGTCGTCCATTGCCAGTCTATCTTCACTTGATAAATACACATTGGGATACCTACAGTTCCATCCACTATAAAGTTGGCCTTATCAGCATCCTCGTAAATACGGCCTATGCTATTTGATCACCATGCAAGCTTGTGCTTGAAATAGGGTGTAAAGACATCCAATGGCTGCCCTTAATGGATCAGTTCATGATGTATATTGCACAAACTCATTAACTGGCCTAAGGTCTTCACTTTTTTTGCTGAAAGGTGCCTGATCTACCACATTATCTTGTAATAAGATACATCAAAGATTTTAGCAACAAGAATTGCTAATTGTTTCATGCTGATTGTCACCATTAGGATGCTGCTATCAAGCCAAAAAGACATTTTCCCTATCACACAAATGAGCAATGTGGTATATGAATTTCAGTGCCCATGTAATGCTAGATTTATAGGCTGTATGCCCCAAATGAACTGATCAATGGTTTTCAATCAGCATGCCCATCAGCTGGTCACAACTGGCAAGACATTGACTGTACCCACTTGGCCAAGTCTGCAAAACTTGAAACACAATGTTCAACATCAGATATGATTTTTGGACAACATTTGCTAAATATCCTGTTTGGGCCAAGAATTATGCTGACAACAACATTCCCTCTTATTTATTTTCCAGCTGTTTGAGCCTCTGAAGCCTGTGTGCAACAGCAAAATAAGCTTCTGATTGTTCCTTATTTGCACTCTGGTTTGTAGACTTGTTTGGAAGTTCAACTTCAAAATCAGGTACTTTTTTGGACAACAGCCTCATTCATGTTAGGAAGAACGGCTAACATGGTCACTTCTTCAGACAATGGCTTTGTATTTTGCTATGTGATTACCAATAGTTCAGCAGTCACTTTTAGTAGTTGGATGTCTGGAACTCTCATTTAAATTTAATATGTTCAAATTCCATTTGATGCTGGAAATTAAGCTTTTGTAAAGCTGTTGAAACTGTTGATTGAGCTTTTTGATGTTTTTGATGACTCAAGTACTTGTATGGCTTGCTGATGGGACTCAATTGAAGACTTCAGCTGGCTGTCTATAGGCTAAGAAGCTCTTCAATGCTCAATCTTGGCTTGATTCTGTTTGGAATTAAGGGTCTCCTTTTCTCTGGATAGCTTTTCATTAGCTTACAATGATTGATGTCTGTTAGTGAGATTAGTAGCACAAACATATCAATTCATCTCTTACTCACCCTTTCTAACAAAGGGACGTAACTACACAAAGAGACAGAAGATACCTTGTCATCATGATAATATATTCAAAAAAATTAGCAAAATCCAAGACCTTGCCATAAAACGGAAAATTTTGCTCTGTGACACTATTGCTCTCCTTCACTCATTCCTGAAAAAGTGAATTAATGATAGAACTTCATTTTGTTTGGCTGCTCACTGTCATTCTTGGTGACACCTGTGCCTGATTTTTCCAGTCTTTCTTCAAAGAAAAGTGCACAATCAGAAATATTCTCATTTTTCCTAGGAATGGTGTATGATCAGTGAAGTCTGGTTTACTGGATGATGAGGATTTAACATTATATAATATTATAAATAATATTTAATATTATTTCTGTAGCAGCTGGTAAATAATAAAGATTTAAAGTTATACCCACAGCTCTGTTTTACAACAAACAATACTGATTGGGAATGGTATATAGGGTGCCAATCTCTCTTCCATGTTGCAGTGAAGAACCTAGACATGTATTCTTAGTGAGATTCCTCCTGGATTTGAAATTTGATGACATTTGGAGAAACTGAAGTTGCAATCATGGCATTGAATCTAAAAGAATAGATTTGCTTGCCCAATATCTTGTTTAAAATTAGTTCTCTTGCCATTAACCATGATATATGCTAGCAATCAGTTTGTGGGTCTACCACACTATAAAAAAGAATATATCTTTGGTAACATCTACAAGTCAGAAGACAGTTGCAGACTGGAGTGGTCTGCTTTTAAACATTTGGTGCAGATTGAAATATCTTACTGATGCTTTGGCAAACCACCTGAAAATGGCATTTCCTATAGCCTTCAATTAAAAAGTGTGTTTTGCTTGCGAAGTTCAGCCTGTCTGGTGATCTGCACTGCTTCTAGTAATGTATCCAGCATCTTCACTACAGCTCTTATATCGGCTTATCTTTCAAAAATCTATATTGGCAATTATCTACAAGGTGGTATAAAAAACAATTTATAAAAGAATTGAGCCAGCTCCCGGATGTGCTGATTAAGCTATGCCTAGTCGACAAACAAGTTTCTACTAATTAAATCAGGAGTCAAAAGCCTGCATTACTTCAGTTTCATATCTGATGAGAATGATTCCAGCACTGCAATCTTCACATACAACTATTCAGTTGGATTTTTTTATTGAGGCCTGAAGTAGTGAGTATCAATTAAACTACTGATGTCAGCTTATTCAGTACCTGGTTTGGTCAAGGTCTTCTGCGTGATCTATAGTATCCTGTAAATGGCAGACATTTTCCATCATTGAATGTATTTGCTAAGTTGGGTAAGTCGACCAAAAACTATTTGCTTTTCTGCCCCTTTTTCAGTGTCACAAGTTCACTCTTGGTTAGTTTTCTATCTCCGGTCTCAGAACCACAGTAACATATAACTCACCGGAGCTGTCTAAATATTTGCTGTTTGCACTGTTCCCTGCTGTGGGGTTTTTCTGCATCTCCTCAGCTTTTCATAACGTTCACCTCTTGACAGTCCAGTGCTTGAATGGATCTTGAATTCTTTTGCCTGCAGCACCATACTGCCATCAGGTTGCTCTTCAAAATTCCCCCACTTCTGTGGTTAGTTAACAGGGCTGGCCTCTTTCTTCATTTGTAGCACTGTATTGTCACTGTGTTGCTTAAGATGCTCTTTGTTTTTTGCTGCTGGTTCTGAGAGTCTGGTCGCCATTACCATTGTAAAATCAGGTCTACACTAAGATGAGTGAACAGTAACAGGTTTTACTGAATGTTACTATATACAAACTTCAGTTTGATATGATCTGTCGTTCCTATGCATATGCTCCTTATGCACATGCTCAGGAGCTACTAAGAGTAAAAATATAGTTAACCCTTTACTCTACAGCATCAGATCAAATGGCTACTGCAGTACAGTCTGAGTATCGTCTAAGATCTGCTTTACCTTTTCACTGCGCACCTTTTGTATGCAACATAGGGTGAGGTGTGATGGTGGTATTTAGTGCTAAATTGTTAGAATAAGGCTCCCCTTTGGCTTTATTTCAGTGTTACAAGCACAGTAGGTGCCTTCTGATGATGAGGATGCCCAAGTTTGGGCTGCTACTCATATCGCAGGAATGACTGGGTTAAATATTTTCAGCTATCATGACCTGCAACAGGGTATAGTGGTATATGGAATAGAGAGAACCAGGGCCCAGGATCAATTTATAAGTAAAAACAGACTTGGCTCCGGTATTAAACATCATCATTGGGGAAGGGTTCCAAAGGCACAGTCAGAGCCTTAAATGCATGGTGAGATGTATTCCTCTTCCTTTAAAGGTTCCACATTCCAGTATCTCTTTATTTGTAGGTAATCCATAGGGGTGCTTCTCTTAACGGCAACAGCTCCACAGGCTGTAGCAGGCAAATAAAGTGAGTATCAAACCACACTTAGGCCTATATTTCTTTAGGTTTAATTGTTGTGCATGGGTAACTGATGCCTTGTTTCCCTTACCTATTATGGTAAGCAGAGTACTTGACATGACCAAAAAAGTGTGCACCCTTCCTGCCCATCACTTTGGGGCTGTGGGTCTCCACTTAACATGTGAAGAAATTTTTCTGATCCTGCATGGATTAATTTTTAAGCCTTCATCTCCTATTTCCTTACTTCTGCAGACTGCTTTGACTTGGAAGCACCTGACAAGGACTAAACAACAAAATTCCTAGCCAAAAACATAAATCAGTGTGGACCAATTGAAACAGCTGGGAAATGCTGTGGTTTGGCATTGGTGCACATCATTCAAAGAATGAATAAATATCCAATATGGTAAGTAATTTATTTTTCTAATACATGTAGCATTTTCCACAGTTGGTACAATATACCAAAGTAGTCAATTAAGTCAGGAGCAAATGACAAAATGATGGGTGCCAGAAGAGACTTTCACGGGCTATGTTCAATTCTAGATTGATAACACTAACTAAACATACACTGCCATTTTTTTTTTGCTAGGAACTTCTCAATAAACATGGCTGGTAATTAACACTTTAGCCACTTTAAATTACGTGGCACACTGCTGTAAACTCCATCTACACTGCATGCAATCTTCAGCTAAAGTAATGGCAGATGATTGGAGCTCCCAAGTTAAAATTTCTGGTGAATTTATAGGAAATTTGCTAAAACAAGAAGCAGCTGAATCAATTTGCCCTGACACTGGGGTTTCTTTACAAGATACACTCACTCCACCATCTATCAAACACTTAAGATATCTAGTATTTGGCTGTTGCTTTCTTGTAGCTTGAGGCACAAAAAGCAAATAGTTACCCAGATGTTTGAATATCCATTCTTCAACACACAGTAACTAGACTTTTGAGAAACTACTTCCATGAGAAAATTTATGTGTGAGCTAATAATAAATGAAATTGGTATAGAACTTACAGATAGCCATACTATGCCCTAACATGACTCGGCCAGTCTGTAAAGCTACTGCCTGGAAACATTTAATTTTAAGAAATATTTCCATCTACCAATCAGATGTCAGAAAATATGATTCATTGTAGTTTATAGGATTAGTCTGTTTTGACTCTTCAAGTGTGAAGGATAGTTAAGCACGAATAGATCACTTGCAAGAAGCATCATACTGTTACCATTCATTAATCACGTGTACATTTTCTGTTATGGATTACTTAATAGCAGTCAGAAGGACAACTTTCTTAGCTTGTAAAATTGAAGGAAATTGCTTGTCAGCTAAGAAAAGGTTAAGGAATGAACTTCTTATTTGAGATACCTTATTTTGGAAATTATTGAAAACAATATTTATGTTGCAGAATATCTAAACAATATAATTGAAATATTTTCTTTGATGCATAAACTAGCACAAAATTAGATAAAGCTGAATAACTACATTATGACATTAACTGTACTTTGATATCTATACTTCGCTGATCATCATATCCAAGCCATATACCATCCTTTACTGCATATGGTACTTTCTGTTCATCAATCCAGTGTTTTTCTGCACCTTTCAAGAAGTCACAGATCTGTTAATGAGAAAAGTTAGGCATTGTTAGTGCACACCAGCAGATCACTCAAAACGGTTATTCAGTGAGTTGGTTGTAGGCTACACTGCTTTATCCAATATAGCACACAATAATGATCAGAGATATAGATACAGTAGACAGCCAGAGACTTTTTCCTAGGGTGGAGGTAGCTTTTACGAGGGGACATAGTTTTAAAGTGAAAGGAGGTAGATATTGGGGAGACTTCAGAGGTAGGTTCTTTATTCAGAGAGTGGTAGGGGCGTGGAATGCATTGCCGGAGAGGGTAGTGGAGTTGGCCTCATGAGGGGCATTTAAGCGGCTATTAGATAGGCATATGGATGATAGTATAAGGTAGCGGTGGAGGTTAGATAGACCTTAGGTTTTGGGTAAAAGTTCGGCACAACATCATGGGCTGAAGGGCCTGTACTGTGCTGTACTGTTCTATGTTCTATAATTAACCATAACCATTGCATTATGATAGGTGAAACTGCATTTTTGTTCAAATGTTAGATGATTTCCTGTAATCATAGATCATAGAATCATAGAATCCCTACAGTGTGGAAACAGGCCCTTCAGCCTAACAAGTCCACACCGACATTCAGGGCATCCCACCCAGACCAAGTCACTATAACCCATCTAATCTACACATCCCTGAACACTATGGGCAATTTAGCATGGCCAATCCACCTAGCCTGCACATCTTTGGATTGTGGGAGGAAACCCGAGCACCCGGAGGAAACCCACACAGATAAGGGGAGAATGTGCAAACTTCATGCAAACAGTTGCCTGAGGGTGGAATCAAACCCAGGTCCCTGGCGCTGTGAGGCAGCAGCGCTAACCACTGAGAAAGTGGAAACTAATAGTAGTATTCATGAAGAAAGGTTAGAGTCCAGATTAACTAGCAGGACAACAAATGTAAGGCAGTTCAAAATTGAAATTCATATAGGTAGAGTGCCTAGAGATTTTCTGGATCTGCTGAAACTTCAGCAAAGCAGGCACACAAGAGAAATGCACCTTTTGTACAGGATTTGAACATTGCTGCATGACTTAATAAATCCAGAAGTAGGAAATGGAACTGAACGCTGCATAATCGTCAGCAAACATTTCCAACTCTTACTTTACGATGAAGGGAAGATCTTTGACAATGCAGCTGAAAATGGATGGGCCCATGACACTGTGCTGAAGAACTCATTCAGTGATGTTCTGGATCTATGATGGCTGGTGTCCAACCATCTTCATTGTGCTCGGCTGGAATTGCCAATGGAGAGATTTCTCCTTGCCACCATCTCTCATGCCACCTCTCAAATTTAGCTATTTTTTTGTCTATATTTGACCAAGGCTATTCTGAGGTCTGGAGCAGAGTGATCCTGTCAGAACCCAAAATAAGCTTGCATAGGTTATTCATGACAAACTGCCATTTGACAACATTGTCAATACCTTCCAGCATTTTGCTCATGAATAGTCAGGTAATATTGTAATTGGCTATATTGGAATTTGATTGATTTATTGTTGTCGCATGTACTGAGATATAGTGGACAGTGTTGTTGTGTGTGCTATACAAGCAGATCGTACCATACAAAGTGCATCAGGGTAGCAGAACAGAGTGCAGAATCCAGTGTTACAGCCACAGAGAAGGTGCAGAGAGACAGAGATTAGAATTAATGTTTGAGAGGCTTGTTTAAAAGTTTGATAGTGGGGAAGAAGCTATTCTTGAATCTACTCATAGTGTATTCAAACTTTTTTTTATCTCTTCCCGATGTAAGAGGATGGAAGAGAGCATAATGGACGGGGGGTGGGTTGGTGGTGGTGGTGGCCTTTAATTATGTTGGTTGCCGTCCCGAGGCGATGGGAAGTATAGATGGAGTCAAAGAATGGAAGACTGGTTTCTGTGATGGACTGGGTTGTGTTCATAACTCTATAGTTTCTTGCAGTCTTGGGAACAGCAGTTGCCATACCACGTTCTGATGCATCCAGATAGGATGCTTTCTACGGTGCATCTACAAAAATTGGTATGCACCCTTATGCCAAATTTCCTTAGCCTCCTGAGGAAGTAGCGATATTGTTTCGCTTTCTTGTCCGTCATGTTGACGTGGGTAGAGCACGAGAGATTGTTGGTGATTATAACTCCCAGGAACTTGACATACTCGACCATCTCCAGTTCAACATCATTGATGCAGACTGGTGCATGCTCTCCACTCCACTTCCTGAAGTCAATGACCCCTCCTTCATTTTGCTGATGCTGATGGAGAGATTGTTGTCTTTACACCATACCTCTAAGCACTCAATCTCTTTGCTATATTCCATCTCGTCATTGTGAGATCCGATTTACAACAGTGATGTTTTCAGGAAACTTGTAAACGGAGTTGCGGCTGAATTTGGCCACATAGTTGTACAAATTGGGTACCTCATGAATGCCTACTTTTGAACTGCCAACTTTTTTCCAAACTAATTTCATTTAGCACAGTGGTAAAGCCACATAATGCAATGAAGAGTGCCTCAAGTGTTAAAAAGGCACTTTATCGCTACAGAAGTGTCTCGTGGTCACTACTACAATACCATCATGAGTAGATTTGTCTGAGAAAGGTAGATTGGTAAGGGTGAAGTCATGCATGCTTGTACTTTGTTGGCTGCCTTACCACCCACCACCGATCTAATATGACAACTATGCCCTTCAGGGTTAAGTCAGCTCAGTTGGCAGTAGTGCTACCAAGTATGTTCTATTCCTTCATTATCCTCATTGCTTTTTCCAAGTGCAGTTCAGCATGGACCTGTGCTCATTATTTTAGTAGATGAAGGGCTATAAATTATAAGGAGAAAGAAGTTTCCTTGTCGATGTTTGAGTTGATGCCATGACACTTCCTGGGAGCTTGGAGTCAATGTCGGGAACTGTCAGAGTTATTGCCTCCTTGGCAGCAACTCCTGTACAGCACTGTTCAACCAACTTTGCTGTTCTGTCTTTTTGGTGGGACAAAATATGGCTAGAGTTGGTGATGAAGGAATCTGGAATAATAACAAAAAGATGATTTTCAAGATGACCGTGTCAGGTTGTTGCTAAATTAGCCTTAGTTTCCCTAATTGTAACTGGGTTGGATGTGCCCTTGTTGTGTACCATGTTTTAGTCAATGTTGGTTTTATTTTTATTATTGTTGCTCATAGTGGTTTTATGAAAGCTGGTGGTTTACTAAGACAGTTGAGTCAACCACACAGCTGTGGGTCTGGAGTTTTATGTAGACCAGGATGACTGATTTTGTTCCCCAAGGTGATTAGTTAACAAAGGCATATTAGTTTTATAGTTTACTGTTGTATACTTACTTAGCTACCTCAATTTAAATATACAACCAGCTGTGTGAAATTTAAACTCCTGTTTCTGGATTTAGTTAAATCATCTGAATCAGTGGCTTTCCTTAGAAGTGAATGCTGCCATAGCATGAGATGTGTTACATCATTTAAATCATTCCAAGATATTTCTGCCAGACTGTCTGTCGTGGAAGTGTGCTTGCAAAATCATCCGTCCTTACCTGGTCTACTATGCCTACAAAATTGTCTTGAAAGCAGTGAATGGCGTTACTGCTTCAGAACCAGAGCTCTGGGTTTAACTCCTATCCTCACTTTATAAAAGTGTAAGTTACCATGACACTTCGATTCTCTGAATGAGTTACAACATACTTGCACCATAATACCTACACAAATAGCGTTTACCATTATAAGGACAATATCTTGTCATTTTTAGTACTTTTGATTGTGGACCGAAATGGGAAAAGGACTTTTGTTTTAAGAAAAAAATCAAGAATTGTGGAAAGAATTACTGCTCTATTAAAAGCAAGTTACCTGACACTCATTGTAAGTGCTGTTTGTGCAAGCAGTGGGAGACGTTTCTACTGACGAACTAGTACCAGTGGGTGTACACAAAGGGGGATTTTGCTGGCAACTAGTAGCTGATTGGTATGTGGAGTGGTGACCAGTTATTGGTGACAAAGATTTACTGCCTGCCAACAACTATGTGATTAACTCCCAGGTAGCCAAACAGCTGCTGGGCCTGAATGTTTGGTTAGAAGCTTTCGGTCCTCTGAAAAGGAAGAAGCTGTCCTTTTCTCTGCACAAAAACCTTATGGATCTGAAGAAAGCCTTTTTATTTTGCTTGATCAGTTGGTGTAATCTGTCATTCTTAACCAATAAATCACTTTGTAAGTGTGAACCAATCATATGTGCCTCTAAGCAACTGAAATACCTGGAGAAGTAAGGTCAAGGTCAGCAGGTCCTGACAAGGATAATGTCAGTGAATTCTGTGAACAGGTAACATTAAAATGCCTTTACAGTCTTTCTCTCCGCTCATCTTACTCACATTTTTTGTGTTTGCATTTGTTTCAGTGCATCGGGCATTTTATAAAGTGGATAGAGTTTTAAACAGTAGAGTTATATGTCAATGGTTCATAACTGCTTACCTGTAGTTAGAATCCATTTATACAGAATAAATATTAATGCTTGTTGAGTACAAAAATTTGTTGCAAACTTTCTATCAACCTTGGTCTTAAAGACAGCTAAATTGGCGGACTTTGCACATCTTTATGAAATATTTAACTTTTCTGATGACTCTGGGGACAGTGGGGCTTAATTTCCAATGTACTACCCCAGTGAAGTATAATACCATTTAATTCATCCACTTGTACTGTCAACAGCCTGATGTGCTGTTTGTCTTGTAAAACATTAAAAAAAAACTGATGTAATGAAACTTTACATGCAAATCATGGTACAAGATGCCTGAGATAATATTGGAATTACCAATTTAAGCTTTGAATCATAGTTGACAGATTCCACAAAAGCTATTAGCAAAATGAAGCAATGGTTTACTTTGACATCACTCTGATGTAATAGTCCTCTTCATTTTCAACTTAATATAAGGGATTTAGATGGCATTATAAACCAACATATGTTCCTTTGCTGAAGGAGAGTCTTTAGCCTTAGATTAGCACACTCTTTTATAAAGAAAGAACCTAAAGCTTCAACATTAAAGCAGTATTTTGCATGCCGATGCATATGATGTTGTGAACAGTTAGGTAATTCGACTGTGACTGCAACCCCATTTCCTTTCAGCAGAGCTGCAACCCTTGGCAACCCCATCACTGAATTTGCAAATTCTTACCAAGCAGGCTATAGATCATGACGTCAGGGCATTTACTTTTGGTGTTTTCTAACATATTCAAAGTGAGATGAGGGGTCACACCACCAATGTGGCAAGAAGCATGCACATGTAACAACATTCAAAATTTTCAGCACTGTGTAATTAGCAGTTTGTTTTGATTTAAATTTGTTCAAAGAAAACTAAAGTTACTCAAGTTTACCACCTCATAATTTGCCAAGAAGCCATCCTGTTTTGTGTATTCACCCTTTGGTCCAGGTCCAGATGCTGGAGCACCGACATTTGAATTTGCAGAGCTCAATCTGAAGCTTCGTCCATATGTTGGAATTCCAACCAGCAGTTTTTTTGCATCTGCACCTTTATCTTTCCAGTATTTAACAACAGAATCCTGTAACAGGAGCAGATAGAACAACACTGGGTTCAAGAAAGTCTAATCATCTTTGTTAAACCTCTTTTCAAAAAATATTTCAAAATGTGGATATTGCCAGCACAATGTAAATGGGAGAATTTGTAAACGTACAATATTATAATCCAAAGCAACATCCTTATCAACATTGCTACGATATAAAGGACTGTTGTGCCCAGTGACGGTATCCCAGTGACCATGGAAATCATATGTCATCACACTGATAAAATCCAAATATCTAAAGAAACAAAAATGCAGCAAGTTAAATCATAATATCTACTATTACTAGGAGATCATAACAATAAACAAGACCAGCATACACTAATACAGAATAATGCCCAATATAATTCAGATGTAAAGCACTCCTAAGTACCTGTAGTAAAACAAGTCTACTTTTAGATAGTGTAACTTAAATCCAGCTCAAGACAGTAATTTAGAATCCAAAATATAAACCACCACAATAAGTCCACTTCTCACACTAAAATGCAGAATTAAAACTAGAGTGACAGTGCTCACAACTAAACTGAATGTACCACGAATCTTAAGCTCCTTCCAAATATTATATAAATTAATAGCAACTGACAATCTGCAGAAATTACACAGATCTCCAATTGCAATTCTGGCTGAAGGCTCACAAAAAAAGAAATAGTCTCAGTTTTCCTCTCCATTTAGAGCCTATGGTTCAGATCTTCGAGTCAGCATTGATTTTGTGTGCCTTGAGGCTGCCAATGAAGATTTCTGTAATCTGATCATGTTATGATTTTTCAGCTGGGACTTAGCAAACAAGTGAAGCACTCTAAAGAATTGATTATAGATAATATCAGAGAAGACAAAAACAGGACTTGCCCTTTTCACGACGTAGCTGCTATACCGAGTAAAGCTTTTAAAGGTTCAAATTTTTCAATAAGTGAGTAGATTAATGAAATGTAGAGTGGATGAGACAGTTGAAGGATCAGTGGATAAGAAAGTGAATTGGTTAGTGAATAATGGGTGGTAATTAGTATAGTTGGGGCAGTTGGTGGTTGAATTGGATGGTAATCAGGTGGTTAAGGGTAGTTGGGTTGGTGAGAGGGTGTCAGATTGGCTTGGCTTGGTAATTGGAAGGATCCAAGGTGCTCAGTTCAATTACAATGAATTACTGGACCAACCAGGTCCTAATGTCCTAGCATGTCCTAATTGAATATCCAGAAAAGCTCCATGTGTGTAGCTCACATCTCTAGCCAGTTTCATGGAAGGCCCTGGGCAGCAGAAATCAGCCTTTCAGAATTTAAAATTCATAGGCAATTTCTTGCACATTTTGCACAGTAACGTGATGTGCATATCCTCACTTATGTCCCGTCTATGTTTGTTTTTACCTCAAGTTGACACTAGTTTATTTTGATTTATGTTACACTAGTGGTTTTCAACTTTTTGTGGTTTGCTTTATTGTGCTTTGGACACAGTTTGCTGCACATGTTTCTCAACAAAAAGTATCAAAATTTGTTTTGCTCATGACTGAAATTTAACCTCCTTTGGAATTAAACACAGAATGCAATTTTTTAAAGTGGCAGAGAACTGAATTAATTCTAGCTAACAGAAATTAAACTTGTTCACTGATGCAGTTTAGAGATGGTGAATGCTGGCCTAACCCACATCCCCACAAGCAAATTTCTTACAAAGCAGGTTATAGTGAGGGAGAGGATTTAAGGTCAGAAGCTTAGATTGGTTCAGTGAGTTAGCAAGGTAGTGTGTGCTGGTTCAATGTCTGGAGGGGAGTTGCAGAAGAGGGGTTGGTGAGGAGAATGTAGGAGGGGAATTCTAGAATGGGAGGCCATAGACTTGGGGGGTGGCAGATATAAACCAGTTGTGGATAAAATTGCTTCACAAAGGGTCGTGAAGCTGTGGAACTCACTACCCCAGAGTGTGGCAGATACTGCGACACTGAATAAATTTAAGAAGGAGATTTTTAATTAGTAATAGGTTGAAGGGAGAGTTATGGGGAGTGGGCGGGAAAGTGGAGTTGAGGCTGAGATGAGATCAGTGATGATCATATTAAGTAGCAGAACAGGGTCAAGGGACTGAACTGCCTACTCCTGCTTCTTCTACTTATATTCTCACGCGTAAAGGCACAGGAATGATAGAGAGGGATATACCTGTATTTGTGTAGCACCTTGTGCAATAATTGAACATTTTGGAGCCAATTAAGTGTCTTAGAATGATAGTCAGATATAATGTAGGAAACCTAGCAGCCGATTTGCATACTGCAAGATCTCACATACGGCAATATCATGAAAACCAGATAAATCTGTTTTGTGAAGTAAATTCAGGGATAAATATTGACTAGGGCATCAGGAATACATTTCCTACTCCACTTAAAAATAGTGGCCTGAGATCCATTACTTCAACTCAAGTACCCAATTTGAGGTTCACAGTTCTAATCTGAAGGATGATAAGTCTGATGGGGTCTGAACATAGGGCTGCACTATGTGGCTATGGTTTGGTGGAACGCCACGGCAGCTCAGTGGTTAGCACTGCTGCCTCACAGCGCCAGGGACCTGGGTTCAATTCCACCCTTGGGTAATTGTCTGTGTGTAGTTTTGCACATTCTTCCTGTGCCTGCCTGGGTTTCCTCCGGGTGCTCTGGTTTCCTCCCACAGTCCAAAGATGTGCAGGCTAGGTGGCTTGGCTGTGGTAAATTGCCTGTAGTGTTCAGGGATGTGTAGATTAGGTGGGTTATGGGGGATGGGTCTGGGTGGGATGCCTTGAGGGTTGGTGTGGACTTGTTGGGCTAAAGGGCCTGTAGGGATTCTGTGATCCTACGATCTTTTGCTTGTGACAGACCAAACAGGATCTACACTTAAAACTAAACTACACTTACTTAGAAATTTTGGATACTTCATAACTAGCATCGATTTTGTCTTTACCAGCAGCCACAGCAGCTGTAATCAGCAGTTTGGCACTTCCTGTTTTTTTTGCCTCTTTTGTAAAGGCAGCTCTCAATTCCTAGGGAAATAAAATAATGGAATGAAAACTGTAATCTCATGGTTTAAGCAGAGAGCAGTGGTTATAGGGATCATAGGTCGGATTATTGTGGCTGTAATGTTTACATTAAAGTAGTTCCCCAAAGAAAATGTAAGCAACGTGATTTCAACCCAGCTGCCCGATTCTGGCTATAATGGTTTAGAGGATCATTTTGGTCACTTTCCATTTTAATGAAACATATTTCAGCATAAGATCCCTCACCAGGTCTATTTAATATTTTGAAAACACAACCTGATGTCGTCATCCATCCTGCTAAACACACTGGTGAAATATGGCAGGAAGCAGTAATTTCCCAGATGAGAAAATGCCAGTCTAGAAATTTTGCACCTTTTGATAGAAAACAACATAAATGCACTTAATGAGAACTACAAATGGCCCAAGACTCCCATTTGAGTCTTTGTAGGGATTCTGAACCAGCTTGCACACTGAATTAAGATGTGGTTAAGATCACACAATTACCTCTCAAATTCTACAGCGAAACCATTTTTTTTCTGATACTTTATCTCTTTTGGTGTGAAGTATATTTGATATATTGAAAAATCAAATTAAGATTTAGGCTATCTTTTCATTAGTTATCAGAATATAATAGTTCTGGTTTTTAAACAACAAACCAAAATATTAGCAACAAACACAACTGTTTATCCAATAACAAATGCTGGAGATTACAGCTGGTCAGGCAGCATCCATGGAGAGACAGCAAGCTAATGTTCTGTGTCTAGACGACTCTTCATCAGAGCTGAAGTGAAGTGTGGGGGGGACAGCATTTGTGCTATAGTTTGGGGAGTGGGGGGGGGGGGGGGGGGGGGGGGTGGGGTGGGGTGTGGAGATAGTGGGTGTAGGGTGCTTGTGGAGAAAAGATATTGATAGTTCAGATTAAGTGAACAGAATGTGAGAATGGCACAAGTGTGTCCACTCCTGCTTGCTCTCTCTTCACTGACACTGCCTGATCTGCTCTGATCTCTAGCATTTGTTGTTTTCAGCACAGATTCCAACATCTGTAGTAATTTGCTCCTACATTTTGTTTATCCAATAATGTTACTTGAACACAAACTATTAGTGAAATCTTCCAGGCCTGACAGGGCATATAGGGCTGGGGGAGCTTATTTGGGCAGGAGGTCAAAATTCAGATGCTCAATGTTAGGTTAAAGTTTTGGTATTAAGCTCCCAAAACCCTGCAGACAGGTCAATCTTCCCCAATGTAACTGTCGGAAATCACTAACATGTGCTACATAATACTCAGTAATACTGCAGCCTACTGGAAATACATTAATGGTAGACATCTCGTTAGGTGAAAGTAAGGAAAATGTGACCACAAACCCTACCATGTATTTGAGAGTTGTAGCTGGTGGAGTGGACTTCTTTCTGGAAACTCCAGTGAGTACTCACTTCTTCAGTGACATAAATCCTTCGTAATTAAGGCATTTCCTTGCTTGAGCTGTTACAGCATGAGGGGTCTGAAGTCACATGAGAATTCATATTCATAACAATCTTGTAAAGTCTTCTTATTTACCAGTAACAGTGTACGGGATGTGGACAATGCGCTTATCCAGACTGGCCAAGTGAGTTAGCCACACTGGATGACACCTGCAAATCTGATAAAGGCAGGCATAAGAGGCTCAAAGTAAAAAGTGAAGACCAGAAAAGCTATAGAAAAAGATAGGAAGGTCTAACATGGAGTGAAATCTAAAAGGTTCTAGAAGGATCCTGGGGAGTGGAAGTGGGCAACAGAGAATTGGAGGGCAAAGTCAGAGTGATAGGAGCAAGTGGGACAAGGAAGGGTGAGAGCTGCACAGCAAGGGTGAGAAACACAACGGGCTAATGAGGAACGTTGGTAATGGTGAAACAGCTGACAAATTGAATATGAGGCAGTGAAAGTCTATGAAAGGACGTGGGGAGCTTCATGGTTATGGGCGTAGGGGAAGCTCAGGAAGGTCAAGGGAAATCATGAATGTGACCGCATTACAGGGTAGACTGAAGCATAACAGAGGGGAATGTAAGTTAGTTGGGCAGGATTTTCAGGCAAAGGAACTGAAAGAAAACTTTATGTGCACTATTCTTTCCTTCAGTCGGGTCAATAGAGTCCATTACTGAGAATGCATAGGATGAATTTCAAATGTTCAAACGTGGGTAAAGCAATACAGAAGCCAAAAGCAAAAAAAAAAATTGTGTGAGCACTCAGTTAAGGATTTTTTGATGAAATAAAGCACTCATGCAGCATACAGCTTATCAGGCTCTGGCCACTCATACTACTGACACTCCAACCTGCTGCCATAATGCATTGACCTCTGAGCTGAAGGCGAATTTGTGCTCAACAATATTTGGCGGCGGTGGTGGGATTGGTCTATGTGCAGCAACACAGAAGCCTTCTCTGGTCTTAAAATCTGAATTTTATGAACATAGATGAAGCCATTATTTATGCTGTTAATTCTAAGGTTGCACGGCTGTGTAACAAGATAAGAACCACCAAAAGTCAGAGTGAATTATGTGCCACATGTGCAATGCACTGCAATAATATTCAATGTTACAGGTCCCTTGTTGGTTTAATGAGGGAGAAGACAAGCACCCTGGGTAATTCCGGAATGGCATAACCATATTGAGGTGGCTGCATCTCTGCCGACACCTTTAGCAGGTGTTTACGGGAGGTGGAAATGGTTCTTGGCTTTGAGATCATTGGCATTCCTTTCTCTGGTTTCTTTTCTGTACTTCTGCTTGCCAGCAGGTGTTCTCAAAGAATTGTGTCCCTTCATGTAGGACTTTCCTCCAAGTTGCTTTCTTCTGAACCAGAGTCTCCCACACGTTGACATCAATGTTGCATTTCTTGAGGGAAAGCTTTAGGGAGTCTTTGAAATGTTGTATTTGTCTTCCTCTCGTTTGAATGGTTTCCTTGAGCTGGGTGAAGATGATATGCTTTGGCAGTCAGAACTGAAGCATCCTAAGCAAGTAGCCAGCCCAGCGGAGTTTGTTTCTGATGATTTTGGACTAAATGCTGGCACTATTAAGCTGCTTCAAGCATGCCGATATTAGTATGCCTTCCCTCCCAGCTGATGTGGAGGATCCTTCTCAAAGATCTATGCTTCTCAAAGCAGTAGACAGAAGATGAACAGTGTGAGTTGTCAGTGACAATATTGAAGATGGTAGATGATAGATTGTGGGTTGGGGAGGGGTAAGGTGGAGCATGGAGCTGGCATGATGTTGTGGGGCTTGTCTATTTGTTTGAATGGGATAAAAGCAAAGGAGAGATCTAGCATGAACAAAGTTGAAGAAAGAATGATGTTGATGAGGAGGAAGTGCCTGATTCAATTAAGGAATTGAAGAAGAGGATTGACAGTGTAACTGGGGGCAGGAAGGTTTCAAGGAGAATACTCATTAATTAGAAGGGTTTGAAAGAATGCTGGGAGAACTGGGAGGATTGGAGTTGCAAGAGTTGTCCCTGTGAATGGGCTGAGGAGTATAAAGCATCTCTGAGGATCAGCTCATGAAAGGATCAATCAGATTTTTGAGGAAGTCATGGTTCCTAATATTAAGTTTTAACTGGAAGAGAAATAAAGATGTATAGGCTGAGGATGTTCATCATCAGCAGTGATCACTCTCTAATAAGTATGATTGGGCACTGAGGAAATTCCGTGTCACTGGTCACGTACTCTGAGTGTCCTTGTGTCGTCAATGAGCCCAATCCTAGAGACACGTTTCCAACTACATAGCACTATGGTACAAAACTGGAAACAAGACTGCCTACTATGACAGACTAGACCATATACATTCTGATCGGGACATAACAGCGTTTCAACAGAGGCTACACAGCACTGACAATGTCACCTAAAAGGGAGAAGAAACGTTTGCATGAAAACCAGTCAGCTCAGCGAACTAACCAACAACTCCAGCCTATATTAATGACAGAAGTCATAGATAAGAAGAAAAAAGTAAAAATTAAGACAAAGTTCACCTCAGATTAATTTATGTTCGGGCAAGTCGATAAAGATGATTAACTTTGGAGTACCTTGAAGCCGCTGTTGAAGACGACCTCCACACCGACAAGACCTTCACACAAGTACAAGACTGTGAAACCCTGAGACCACCTTTCAGGACAAGACCATGGGAGACCACTGCTCTAGGCTGGAATACAAGAACTTCACGCCAGAGCGAGACCTTAACGCCACACGCCGGAATGTAACCTCCATGCCAGGACTGGACAAGATCGCCACTTTGGGTCACTTAAGTACCCAGAAGCCGCTGCCGAAGAAGACCTCCACATTGATGAAATCTTCACACCGGGACAAGACTGCCAAACCTGGAGACCACCACACCAAGCTTCCTGCCCCGCTGTTTAACTCATCGGGTCTGCGTCTCATAGAAGGAGACA